AATCGTACCTGGCCAATTTCGTGCTCCATAAACCCTTATCCATTCTTGTTGTTGAACATGAGAGACCTTGCGACCTGTCAGTTGAACGCTAGCCTATGACATACTATCGGCTTCGTGTTTAAAGTACTTTTCAGCATCGTGCCCGCAGGGCATGGTGGCAGAAAGTGACAGTTCGAAGGGAGAGCGGTATAGCGTCCTCAAGATTCTGGCATATTGAATTGATGCCTTTGCACGATTTTGAGGAATAGAAATGAAGCCGCTAGTGGCATGTCAACGGTGAAGGGTAGAGTACATTGGGTATCTCATCTCGGAGAGTGAAGAGTAGCAGGAGCCGAACACCTAAGTACAAAACATGACATCAAAAGGGTATCTCCAAAGCAAAGGTAGCACCGTTAATCCTCTGGAACACCATCACTATGCGAATTCCTCCCCTGCCTTATATCCACCAATCCACCCACACACTTCCTTCCCTCAAGCCTGCGATTGCCCTGCCCCAAAGATCGAAAACGCCTGCAGATAATGCCCGAGATTTTGCATGCTACCCCTATTTCCAGGGACATTTCCAGGTATGTCGGACTTGGTATCAGGAGGTCTCATGGCGTTCAGTATTCTAGATGGGCTCGATGGACGAGAAAAGTCTTCTTCTTCAGAGGGCGGTTGCAGAGGTGGACCTTCTCGTGATGGCGAGTCGTGCTGGTAAGGTTCGTCGTCAGGGGATGAGCTATCAAGGCTGTCGTCTATGCCATCGAGAGAGATTTCGCCATCGCTACGGCGTTCATTGAGGTTGGGCTTGCCGTCGAGGTTTCCTTCTCCGTCAAGAAGGTCCGTTGCTGCTGCATCAATGCCATAATCCTCGTTCTTCTCGGAGACGTCCAAGATGTCCATTGCTGTAGCCCCGTCAAGCTCATCTGACGCCATGAGGTCGCCAATCTCTGCAAAGGGCGTTTGCACCTCCGTGGAAGGCCCCCATTTCGAATAATCAGGCGTCTCTAATCCACCACCTAGTGTTCCTAGACTTCGCTCGAATGGATTGCCGCCGGTCCATGAACTCGGGCTTAATAATCCCTGACCTTGTCCGAACATTGCCTCTTCAGTGTCGTCGGGCGTTAAAACTCGAGCGCCAAGATTTTCAGGTGTTGGGGCTCGGGCTTGGTATTCGAGCGCTGTTTTGCCGGAGGCTATGAGGGATTCGGTTTGCGCGAGACAGCGTTTTATTGATTGGTTGAGTATTTGGCCGTCGAGGAGGAGGGCGCGTTGGGTGGCGAGGTCAAGTTCGGGCCGCTTGGGGTCTTGAAAGCGAGTGCGGCCTGCTCGGGATGTGGGGGAAGAAGGGCGCGAGCTGGCGCCGGAGGGGGGAGAGATGTCGGATAAGGTGTCTTCATGGTCGTTTTCTCCGTTGTCAGAGTCTAGTGGCGACGTCTCACCGGCTGAATCATCAGCGCTTTCGGACAAGAAAGACATCTTCCTAGAGGCAGACTTTGACGCAGGCGCCACCGACAGGCGTCCAGAACGGCTGAGCCGGCGGTAACGACGCAGCTCGGCGTTCTGCTTGCGCATCTCGCGCTCAAGGGCGCGGTTGATAGCCAAGAGAGATGAGTTGCTGATTTCGAGATCGAGGACCTTTCGTTCACGGCGAGCCTTGGCAGCTAGCTCGTTCATCTGGTCAATCTTGCTCTGGCCAACAGCTGAGGGTCTTGTTGGGCTCTGTGGGTGCGCTGGGAGCTGAGTCGAAGGGAGTTCTTGGACGGCAGCTGGAGGATTCACACTGTGTGGTAGTGCGCCATTCGACCCGACGATAGAAGTAGTTCTAGTCCGTTCAGCTGCTACTGGACTCATGTTCGAAAGGACTACGCTTGATCTTCGACGCGGGCTTGGCCCAGCTGACTGTGCGCTGGAGGACCTCGAATGTGAACTGACACGAGCTTCTCTGGGTGATTGTCTGGGTGAATTGGTGCTAGCTCTCCGCGCAATGTTCGTAATGCCAGAAGTTGTCTCTGATGGCTTGATCTCAGTGCCACCGTTTGAGACCAACCGAGTATGGCGTCGAGGCGAAGGCTTGTTGACAGAAGACTTGCGAGGCAGAAATTCCTCTTTGAGTGGCGAAGCCGCCCTTGGAGGGCTTGAGGCCGTGTGCGCGCTGTAGATGGTCTGAAGTGGTGGCCTGTGAGAGGAGACACCGTTGGAAAGCCGAGGAGGCGGTTTTGAATCATTGGAGGGATCATTGGCGTAGAAAAACTTAGGCTTTTGCTCGTCGAGGGTAGGGCTGTTGCTCATAGATGAATCCCTTCCATTTGAGATGTTCCCGTCCTTGGACTGCCCGTATCCTGGCAATGGCCCTTTTGACAATGATCTACCCGCTGTAGGCTTTGATGGCATACTCGCTTTGACGTCGTTCGCATACACAAACATTGGCGAGCTCTCTGGGCTAGTCGTCCTCGTTGCTGAACCTTTTCGCTCCAACAGAGGTGGCCGGGGCGAGATCGAGGACCCCAATCCATCGCTGATCACACTTGATGCTCTTGACCTCCGCCCAGAAGTTGAAATCCTTAGCCCCAGCCCACTTGTAGCCCGCGAACCCTCTGGGGTTTTATCACGCCTCTCGATGGAAGAGACCGGTCTTGTAGTGCTGGGGGTCCCACTTGAAGTTCTATTCGGCGTTGACGACGCGCTTTCAACTCTTGCCTTTCTGGAACCTGACCGAGGTGTTATGTTGGAGCTCAAGAAAGCCTTGACTGGTGTTGCGACATCTTCGGGCGAGTGTCCGTTCTCGACGCCTAGTTCATCCATTCGAGCCTCTCTTCGACGGGTAGAGGATCCATTGGAGGCCAAAGATGCTGCGATCCTTGTTGTACCATTGTCAATTCCCGCCCACCTGGGTGATTGTGTGGTGGTGTTCGCTATGGGCCCGCGGTTGACGATGCCATTCTGCTTCTCGGAGCTCATCGCTGCTGCGCCATGTCGTGTAGGGGTCGTGGAGTAGCTTTGTGGGGAGCAGACCATCTCATCTTTGGTGGCGGTTCTGCACAAAATCGCCTTAGACCAAGATATTCGATGAGATCATGAAGCAGCTATTAACGATGCATTTGCCTTATGGTGGTGTCACCAGTGGTATCGACGGCGCGCAGAGCTGCGGGAACCAACCCTAGCAACAGACTAAAGACTAGCGCGCTACAAAATAAGGTACGGTAGGCTTTCTCGGTTCGTGACGGCATCGTCTAACATACATACAGGTAGTGGAATTTTACAAATCAGACTCTTCTTTTTCCATATCTTGACTCCTGTATCAGGTTTCGTTGCTTCAACCTGAAAAGACTGTCAATACTCTTAGCAAAAAGGGCTACCCTGAACCATCAATATATTCCATTCTTCGATTTGATTATACCACATTTCGCTCATTCAGCCCAACCACAACCCGGATTCAAACTCGCAAACAGCCGTGTCTGCTGACGGCCACAATGTTTGCTCTCCATGGGATTCAGAGCCTTCGGTTCGCTCGTTGAGGTCCAGGAAATCACGCGCACTTCCAGAACTCGTTCCCTTCCACGAACAAGAAATCTATACTTCTAATGTCAAAATTTATTAGTCGCTCCTCATCCTTCGTAATCTCCGCCAGCTGTAAAGATTCTTTCAATTCGGATGGCTTCATTTTGGAGAAGGTAGTCGATTCTAACAATTTCGCACGCTCGTACCAAGCCTTTACTCGTTCGGTAATCACTTTGAACTTGTGAAAAGAGTCGTGATGTTCTGCATGCGCCGACGTGACGCTGATGCTGCCAACGTGTGCACCCGAAGCATCCAAGTAATAGGGCACCTTACAAGCTTGCCGTAAGGGAAACGGATCAGGACCTGGATTTGTGCAGAACGCGAGCTTAATTAGGACGATAACTGGCGTGTGCGACTGAAATTTTCTCCAACATTGAGTCTTGCTCGATTATGTCTGGAGATTGCTGGAGATATCTGTCTCGGAAGGATTTTGTGGCATCGAGGCAGTCTGTTAGTAAACTCATTCGGGCGCCAGAATGTTTGTGTAGGTTGATGTCTGAACTTGTTGATGGGCTCTTGTCTGGGGAGACATGCAGGGAGACTTGGTGCAGATGAATACAAGTACTGTCGTACGCTAACAGGAATTGACGGTAAACAGACCCCGTCTCGTGGGAATAAACCCCGCAAGTATTGCAATCGAGACTTGAAAGCCTTGACTAACAGGTCCGCCCATTCCGATCCAATCCATGGCCTTTCATCGTTCATTGGGTCATCCCCAAAGACAAGTGCCGTTTCCTCGGCGAGTCTCTGCAATTCGACGAAATGGATGAGTTGAGTATCTGATGGCGTTCCACTCCCAGTGGCTAGTGACCGGCAACACTCCCCAACCTGATCGTTGTACCTCATAATGACAGGCTTTCTGTTTACCATGGAGAGGCAAGATGACAGACAAGACATTCCTACAAACGCTCTTTTCACTTCGGGGGCAGACTGTCCAGGTCTTCGGAGATCCAACTCAATGGTCACAGCTACAGCTATCTGGACAAGCATTTTGTGTCCGCCCTGTAGCTTGAAGTGAAAATGGTACCAAGCCAGGTAGATCAACAATCCCTGAAGCAGTCTAGACCTTTTGCTCCTTTGACTATCACCTTGGTGCTAATGAATATCTTGGGGTCAGCTCTCCTTTCTCATCACACAAATTCGAGTAATGAAACAAGTCTGGGGAGCACGGCGATGGGAAACCCCTTGGCGCCCCCCCAAAACGGCTCACTATTCATATCCAACTCATGAATTGGAAAGGACTACTCGGCAATGTTCATACCTGAGGACTTCTCGAAACTCCCGTTCAAGCGATTCTTGCAAATCGCATTGCTTCCTCGAAGCAATTGTGAGGACGGACAGTAGCAGAAAAGGCCTTTCACGTCGAAATGAATCCATAGTAAATTTTGGTAGTAACACGAAAGGAAAACTTGCATAGTCCGTTTTGAACGTTTTTATGAGCTCTTCGGCATCCTGGAATGACATCTGCTCGACCTGTGGAGATTTCGCAATTAGCACCGCTTCGGGTCAAGAATCCTAGTGATGAGACAGATCTTGGGAACAACAAGAGCATCATACGACACATCCTGCAGTACCAAATAGAAAATAATCGCTTCGGTGTACGTACTGGAGGGTTTTTTGCCTTGAGGTGTTGAACTAAAATTGATTGGGTATCCTAAACCTGAGTCTACAGGCGAGGGCTCGACCGGTTGGACGAGGACGCCTACTTGCTCGAGGACTTGTGGTGCCGGGTTGTTCTGCGGCATCAGACCCGTCTGAAGCAGAGAATAGACATCATCAATCCTTTTCTCTACTTTTGAGATTGGTCTAGATCGCCCCTTTAAGTAATGCTGACACGAATATCATTATAGCTCGAATGTTGGCGTAAAGGCCATGAAATTTGCATCGCGGAAAGAGCATCTGAAGCTAGCATGGCGTGTTCGTGTACTTGGCTCATAATTCAGTGATCGAGCGTCGACATTTTGCGCGACTGATCAGAGACTCCTAGGCGATTTCTTGACCATTGGACCCAGCGCCATTAAGGTCTTTCGCAATTGGCCCCGGGCCGCCAAAGAGAATGAAGAGATCAGCTACGATCCTTGGGTCTCGTATCACAAACACACTAGAGAGCGCATCCTTGGGCCGAAACCAATCTTCACAGATGACTTAGAACTTGACGAGAGAGCGAACATCCCGCAAAGGATATATAGACATCACCGGCCCGAATTCCACCAGTTGTTGTTGGCCCAAGCACGCAAAGTTGGCATTGAGGTCGAGTATGGCCAGCGTGTGATCGAGTATCTCGAGGATGCGGCAGCCAGAAAAGCGGTGTCGTCGTTCAGGGCGGGGGCAAGCTTGAAGCCGACCTTGTGGTTGCTGCTGACGGCGCGGGCACGAAGTCATACATTTTGACGATGGGGGAGCAGGTTGATGCGAAGGGCAGCGGATACGCCATTTACCGCACCGCATATCCTATTGAGTTGGCTCTTGCGGACCCTCAAGTTGCCGAACACTTTAAGTTGCTCGAAAATGGCCGCTCTGTTTTCGAGCTGTGGATGGGATAAGAGATTCGGCTCGATGGTATCCCAGGAATTCACTAATCGAGAGGTGCACTCATAGTCTCGATGTGCACCTGGGAGTGTGCAGATCGAAAGACATAATGACATGGAATCTAACACACAAGGTAGATCTCTTACTTTACCAGATCTACTTCTATAGCTTGCTGAAGATTGGCTTTTCATCCTTGCAGGACATTGGCAGTGTTGCAGAGTCCTGGGGCCAAACAGCTGAAATTGAAGACGCACTCAGTTTCACAGCGCGAATCCCAGATTTCCCCGAGATGATGAACAGAGTGATCAAAACAACGCCAAATGATGGCATCATCGATTGGAAAATGGTGTGGAGAGATCCTCAAATGACATGGTCCTCTCCCGAAGGCCGAGTCATCCAGCTTGGAGATAGTGCACATACATTTCTGCCTAGTTCAGGGAATGGAGGCACCCAGGCAGTTGAAGACGCGATTTCTTTGACTACCTGCCTGCAGATCGCAGGAAAGAGCAACATTCCAGGGGCTGTAGAAGTCCATCACAAGCTCAGGTACGTGCGTCTGCGGCCAGGCAATAGCACCATTCCGGGTAGGCTGACATTAGGCCGTAGATCTGAACGCGTTTGTTGCTGTCAACTGTTGGGCTTTGTGAATCAAAACATTCGTCACAGACCTGACTGGAAAGCGGCTGCAATAAAGCGAAGCACCGTTCAAGCTAGCTAAGGCAAATGGCTTGGCAGCACGATGCAGAGGACTATGCATATGAGAATTATGGGAAAGCACTTCGCCATCTTCTTACAGACGAACCTTTTCAAAACACGGACATCCCTCCAAGATATATCTACAAACCCTGGAGCATCCAGGAGCTCTTGTCGATTGAAGGAGAGCCAAAGGACGTAGAAGTTGACGGCGACTGGTCCTAGTATTTCGACGCATTGGTGATGCTCTCTGTCCTCGAGTCTCCTCGACGGGTCTCTGTCAACCGGACTAGGATTGATCAGGAAGGTTCTGAGGGTGACTTCACCATCTGCGGGGCCAACCCTCTCTACTGTATAACCTATATCGCCCAACATTATGGCAGATACTGACATATGGTGAAGATGAGTGCACAAGCTGTCGTTGTCTTCAGAGTGGGGATACCTTAGAAAAGTGCGCCTCTCGAAGATCGGAAGCTGAAATGTGTACCCCTGAGGCGCGAAGCTTAATCGAAAAGTCAATTTTCCTATGTCCCGCCTTTTAGCCTCAGTTTACTTACTTTACTTTCCCATTGTTCGTCATTTCTACATGTCATCTGTGTAGGTTACCAGTGGGCATTGATGATTATTGCGTGCGGCTTTTGTTTTCTCGATTCTACCTTCTGTACATAGCATCATCACTGTCGCTTCCAATTGTACTTAATCCCATTTAGCGTTCCAAAAGGGCCACAGGCCAAGCAAAGAAGCCCGAAGAACTACTCTATTTGTTTTGCGCCCCGAAGAAATCCGAAGTCAACTTCAAGAAAAAAGAAATTATTACATCAAGCTGAGCCATAAAGTCTTGCATCCATCTTGATTTGAAGATTCAGCACTAGCCTGTGAGCCGGCAGGATGGAGGACGTGCAGGCCGTAGCCAGTGTTGTCGCTCGAGGAGCACTTCAATTGGCGGCGGCGGCGTCCTCATCAGCAGCAGCAACATTTACTGCGAAGCCTGCTTGCAACTCGGACAACGACTATGATGGGCGCATAGGTCTGCGTGTCTCAGCCATCTTCGTGATACTGGTTGGCTCAATGTTTGGTACTCTCAGCAATCATCATCCAGCGCATCTACCAATTAATCACTAACGACAATAGGGGCCGCCTTCCCAGTCTACGCGGGTCGCCATCGAGGCGTAGGCGTTCCGGAATGGGCATTTTTCATTGCGAAATACTTTGGCTCCGGCGTCATAATAGCCACTGCATTCATCCACCTCCTCGCTCCCGCCTGCGATGCCCTTACAGACCCTTGCCTCAAGGGCCCGATAACGGACTACGACTGGGCCGAAGGTATAGCACTCATGACGATCTTTGTGCTCTTCTTCATCGAATTGATGGCCATGCGCTTCGCTACATTCTCCTCGTTCGGACATACCCATGACGACGACGAGCAAGACGACCACGGCCTCCAAATCCGCACCACCCGCTCCCCTTCAAACGGCCAAAAACATACACCAGGCGAAGACCACCTCTCCCACACCCGCGAACACATCGATCACGATGATCAAGACAACCCTACCTCCCAGGAACCAGCCATCCACACCAAACCCGACAAACCTCCGCACGAAGTAGAAGACTACGCGGCGCAAATGACCGCAATATTCATCCTCGAGTTCGGCGTGATATTCCACTCCATATTCGTTGGCCTTACCCTCGCAGTCGCAGGACAGGAATTCGACACCCTCTACATAGTCCTGGTATTTCACCAAACGTTCGAAGGCCTGGGTCTCGGGTCTCGATTAGCGGCCACGCCCTGGCCGAAATCGTCACGGTGGACCCCATACCTATTCGCACTGGGGTACGGTATATCAACGCCGGTCTCCATGGCAGTGGGCCTGGGAGTCAGGGAGACGTATTCGCCGGGATCGCAGACGGGACTTATTGTGGAGGGCGTGTTTGATAGTATTAGTGCGGGGATATTGATATATACGGGGCTGGTGGAGCTGATGGCGCATGAGTTTATGTTCAGTAGTGTGATGAGGAGGGCGAAGCTGAGGGTCGTGATGGCTGCGTTTGGGATGATGTGTTTGGGTGCTGGTGAGTCCTCGGCCACCTCCCCCAAAGGGCACTCGGCAATTGGCAAAGATACTGACGTTTGAGTAGGTCTGATGGCTCTTTTGGGCAAATGGGCTTGAAATATATTCGAAAAGAATAATCACTGCACTATTACCAACTATGTTTCTTGTCCATCCGCATCACACCGCCATGCGGCTTCCACGCTCCAAATATTGGAGAAGAATCGGTGGAAAGGAGGCAGCTTTTTTGGAACGTGGAAGGTAGAGGCATTTTTCGGCATTCAGCCAGAATAGAGCGGGCGGCAGTCGCAGATCACTTTGATCCCGCATGGAACGGACATTTGCTTGACTGCTTTGATTAAGGTTATCCGGCGGAGAATGGACAGCTGCCCATAGATATCTTGGCGGCTTCGTACGCCACCTATATCAACGTCTTTGAAGAGCGGTAGCAAGCGAAGACCCGAGCTGACTTCGAGGCAAAGATGCTGCTTCCACTGCCTGTCACCTCCGAAGTCAATTCAGTAATTAGGGCTAGGAATCTGTCTGTCCTGTATGACGAGTGCATCATCCCCAGAGTTGAGTTCAGCGTCAAAGAAGAGGTTCAATAACAGTGGCTCCACTCTCATAAACCCCTTCTCTCCCCAACACCCTCAATGTCAACCTCCACCCCGACCGGCACCCTCCCCTCCGCTGGCGGAACCCTGACTTCTTTATTCGGCTCCCCAAAATCCAATCCCGCAAACATCGCACCCGCTTCGCCCATATCTGATAAGTTCCGCTTCTCTGGCTCTTGCGTGCTAAGGCTGGAGTAGAGGAGGTAGCTGGCTATAGCTGCGACCGCCCCGGCGCTTGCTAGCAAGGGTGGTAGAAGTGTAGATGTGAGCGAGTGTGGTGGTGCGTCTGTTGAATGTTGTGGCTGGGTAGATGAGGTGGTGACGATGGTGCGTTTGTAGAAGGGCACTGAGTCGAACGTGCTGTTGAGGATGCTTGCGCCTGCTGAGCTAAGATTTTGTTCGGGGGCTCTCCAAGGCAGTCCACTCTCATTTTCTCCTTGAATCATGGCGGACTGCTCTCCTGTCGAGCTCAGTAACGCATCCTCCACCGTTACTTTCCCGCCAAAGACCTCCTTGACTCCGTCTTCCACGTATTTGCACAAGTCAGGATACCTCCCCCGCAATCCTTCCGCAAGCCACGATAACGGCATTTCCGGTATAAAGGCCAACGAAAGATATCCCAGCGCCACACAATCCAGACTCGACGCTCTCTCATCGCTCAACATCCATTTCTTCTTTCCCAAAAGTTGCTCCAATGGTTTGAACGCCGCATCCACCAGCGCATCCAACTTGAACCTGGCACTCGATTGCTTTTCCTTCATCAGCCCCGTCACTGTGGGCCGAGACGTCCGTAATGATTGCGGTATGAGATCCGCAGCTTTCCTGCTGCTTCTTCGTTCCTCATCTAGAGTGTCGAGGTCTAGAGACGAAAGGCCCATATGCTCGGTTCGCGCTTTGGCGATTGTCCGTCGCTGAGGTGGAACAAAGTATTGGGTTGGCCATTGGAGGATTGAGGAGTAGGCGGTTCGGGTTTTGGAGTAATTTTCGCTAGCGACATAGAGGGAGAGATCGAGGAGGGGGTGGGCTTGGAAGGTAAGGAAGGAGGAGAAGCTAGAACGCGAGACGATTAGCCGTGGATCCTTGAATGTTAAGGAACTAGATCAATTACGCGGTGACGTCTGCCCTGTCTTTTGGTTTGGAAAATTGCCGGTCTATATCCCAATCTCCATCAGACCTTTTGCGTAGATAGTCCACGATGTTCTCGAAGCCGCCAATGGTCGCCGAGCCATCGTGAAGCACCGGTAGCTCCTCTGTCACCTGTATCAGTACATATTTCCACCCAAAGCGATACACAGGTCGCAGCGTGTGGTGGCTCACGGACTGGTAGGACTCAATGTGGCATCAGAACTCGCAACGAGGACCCATTGATCTCGAGGTAACGCCTGGGCTAAGTATGCAATGGCGGTAAGACATTGCGGATCGATTGAGGGTAGAGAGAAGGCTGGGCCCCAGATATGGAGCTCGAGAACCATTGCTGTCTGCTCAGCCTGAGATGTGGGCCAATATTGTTTTGACCGTTTGCCAAGCAATTCGGAGAAAGGTTTATCCTAGAGTATGAATAGAGTTTCTCTCGGAGCCCCTCCCCTCGCTCGCTCCCAGACGGATTTCCCGAGCTCCCATATTGAACCAACACTAGCTCATAGAGTCGCTTTGCTGAAGAAGTGATCACGCCAAAGATGCTTTACACGAGTCAGGGTGATAGTGAAAGTGCAGTGACTTCCAGTGAACTGCCGGTAAAGAGCAACGGGCCTCTGTTCACGGGACCTGCTGAGAGTCTCAGATCCCATCCTATCCAACCCGAAGTCTCAACTTTCTGAAGGCGTTGCCCAGAACAGGAGGGAGCGCCAAGGCATCTTGCGAAATCAACAACCTAAGTCCTTCTTCACTCGCTCTGAATGTCTTAGTCGTGGGTGCTGGTCTCGGCGGCCTAGCCGTCGGGATTGCGCTGGCACGAAAAGGTCATGCGGTCACGATATTCGAGCAAGCGCCTCAGATGGGTGAGGTAAGAACCTCTGAGATCTGAATAGCAAAGCTAGAAGCTGACAGCATGGTAGGTTGGTGCCGGCATACAAGTACCGTCCAATGTCAGCAGGCTGCTCTTACGATGGGGCCTGGGGCCTTTACTCGACGGCAAAGTTGTCGAGCCGAAGGATATATCTTTTCGGCGTTGGAAGAATGGCAACGTCATTGGCTATACGAACTTGGTTCCTCACTTTCACGACACATTCGGGGCTCCGTACTACGTCGTTCACCGGGCTCATCTCCACGAATCAATGCAAAGATTGGCCAGGGAGCTTGGTGTTAGAATCCTTACTGCGAGCAAAGTGATGAATTATGACATGGACGGCCCGTCTCTGACCCTCCAGGACGGATCCACTTTCGGGGGAGACTTGATAGTAGCGGCTGACGGTATGTGAACCAATTCTGGAGAAGCAAAAGCTGCCGCGTTCTGATCAAGGAACCTCGAAGGAATTAACTCTGTTTCCCGTAAAACGATTCTAGATGGCGTCGATAGAGTTCCACTTAGAACAGGATTCGCGGCTTATCGGGCAACCGTAGGTGTCGAGAAAATCAGAGAGGACCCTGCTGTCTCTTGGATACTGGAGAAGCCAGGCATGAATGTCTGGTAATTCACTCTGACCAAGCAATCTCATTTCCAGAATTGAAGCCAACATCCAGTTTCATTAGGATTGGCGAGATGCGTCACGTAATGACCTACACAATAGCTGGGGGAAATTCCTTCAATATGGTTCTCTCCCATCCGGAAGAAGAAGATCCAGAGACATGGGATCAGGGCAAGGCCTTAGAAAGCATGAAGGACCATTTCAAAGGATGGGATCCGGCGTAGGTTGGTCACTATGACTTTCATAGCGTAACTGACAGACGCACTATAGTCTACTGAAACTCATCGCCATGATCGAGAAGACGATGAAGTGGCCGTTGATGACCGGAGCCCCGATCGAGAAGTGGGTCGCACCCACTGGCAAATTGCTAATGCTGGGGGACGCTGCTCATGCTATGCTGCCATACATGTCACAAGGTAAGCCTCGATCCAAGTGACGAGAATGTATGTGAAACAGGATCAAATGTCCACTGACTGTATTGAACAGGCGCCGCCATGGCCGTTGAAGACGCCGCTGGCTTGGCTGAAGCCATAAGTATGATCGGATCGAAGAGTCAGCTACAGATAGCGTTGAACGTTTTCGAGACCATCCGAGTCAAGCGCGCAAACCAGATGCAAGAAGCCAGCCTCATAAACGGTAAGCTGTGGCACTTTGCAGACGGTCCCGAACAGGAGGCTCGTGATATTGCTATGCGCCCTGAGGTCGAGGGCCTTCACTTCGACGAGAGTCCGAATCAATGGAGTGATCCTGTCACCCAAGATTGGTGCTACGGATATGATGCAGAGGAGGCCATGGCCAAGGCTATGAGTAGTGCTTTGGCTAAAGCCAGCCTCCCAGCAAGTGTTAATGATTAAATAGAAAGCAACGGCCATCACTAGAGCCACTTGTGATCCTGCTTCAAGCTCAGACGTCACTCTTCAGCTATCCTTGACAAGAGGATCGTCTCAGTGAATCTGACATCTTACCCATCATGTGCACAATGGTCGATAATAGAACGAAGCTAGCGACAAGATTCCGAATTTCATTAGAAACGCCCATCAAGTCTCAGTCTCCGCTTCGATCAAGCTCTCAGTTCCCTGTTCATAAGTCCAGACCCCTGTAACTTTCAGTCCTGCCTGCCCAAGCAAACCCCTCCACTGCTTTTCCGTCCGCTCCCTGACGGCGCCCAAAGCCATCATCAACCAGTCCATCGATGTGATCGACCACGCCGCTCCGACGTCGGGAACGACGTTCTCGTTGATAAGCAGCTTTGAGTATCCGGGTCGCATAGCAGGCACAACGTTTCGAAGAATCTTGAGACACGAAGCATCATCCCAGTCGTGGAGGACGGAGTGCAGATAATATGCTCTAGCACCTAGGTCACGCCCAGTCAGCTTCTCGCGCAACTCAAACCAATTTTGATGCGAACCTTTGACAGATTGTGGAGTGAAGAAGTCATGGGTAGTCAACTCAGTGCCATCCGAAGCCTTGCCGATTTGGGCGATGACTTCCGGCTGGTCCTGTAGCACTAAGCGACCCCGAATGCCTGGATGCTTGACTTTCAGCTCCTCTAGATCGTGACCCAGACCGCCTCCTACGTCCACAAGGAGGACTGGATTTTTGTCGTCATTTGGCGTGTCGGCTCCGAGTCTTTCTTTCAGTGGGTAAAAGCCTTCGTCCATCCAGCGGCGCTTCCCTTGACGATATCCGCTCATGTAGTTGTTGAAATGTTCGGAATGCTCAGGTCTCTCCCCTAGCCATACAAAGAAGGGTTCTTTGGTGTGGTGGGCGTGTTGGAACGGTCCATCGGCGATGTTCCTCGGGTTTTGTGTTTTTGAGATAACCAGGCGTCCCGTGAAAGGACGGGCCTGCAACGTCAAAGCTGCAGTGGGTCAGCATGACACGCGGCAAAAGCGGGATGTCGCTTGCAAACCAGTAGCTGATCCCCATCACGGTATGTTGGAATAGTCAGGGCGTTAGAAAAATGGGTTGGGGAGAATTCATCGGCACCCGTTTCGCCAACGATGTTCATGGCGGAAAGATGCTTCATCGTCCGAGCTACCTATGATGGGAGAGTAAGCGGTCAAGTCTCGTTGCAGTCATGGACAGGGCATCCGGTTGGACTCAAAAACCATACCGACCAATGAGTCCTCGGCGCCCGTCTGGCTTGCAAGCTTCGAGATGTTTTACGAATCGCCGCCAGCTTCGTTGAGGGCATCGAAGATCTTCAAGTCGACTGCGATTTTGATCGCTGCAAACCGGGCCGGCTGGATGGAATCATTTCATGCTTTTTCGTAGGATAGGATTCCATAATGTCTTCAGACAAGGCGCTGTGCTATACCTCTGCCCAGCCGATTCTCTGGACGGTTTCGCTGGGCGTCTCCACCATCGCTGTCAATCGATGAGATAGCGCCAACAAGCCTTCTCGGGCCCCTGGCTGGTTTTGATGGACAGGGTCAACGAGCGTGTTCATCGCCCTTGCCACGCTGGTGGCATTTTCCAGGTGATTACTCGAGAGATCCGTGGTGGTATATACACCTGACGATCAAGACAGCGAACAGATCTAGCTGTCAAGACACGCTATGGTCGACTGGTTGCGACGACAGAGAAAGTCGGGAATGGCGCAAGGGGTTACTCTTGCCAAATTGAGATGATTGTGAGTGGGTGCAGCCGTGTAGTACGGACAAGGGTTCGGATTCACCATTCATCTCGGAGCGGCGACTTGCATACGATCAGTAACCCACTGAGGCTGTGCACCTTTTTTGTTCCTGCGTATAGAGTTATATATATTACTTGTAGCCCAGTTGGCCTCGCAGGGTTGTGGAGTACATTGCGTGCCCAGGGAGTCAATGCATACTTCAGCTTGGTAATCAGCTCGTGGTTCATTGCATATCGGTATTGTATGAGATGGGAAAATCTGGATGCAGACCACTCTACGGTTCTCATTGTTTCAGGACCCCTATCCGTACTTTATGCTCGGGAAAGGTGCCCGCAAGAACTGGTTACGTTACCGGTGGCTGCCGATTTTCTCGAAGACCGTTTCCTTGATGACCTAGTGCGGTCGCGAAAGGTTTTGACGATTGATGATGGAAAAGACACTGTCGATGATTTTTGTCAATATCTAAGGGTCGTATGCCGCTTCAATTGCCATTCCTTGTGATAATTTGTATGGGAAACACATCGCTAGCATTCATGGTGAACCCCAGTACTCATGGAGCAACTAGGCTTATTGAAACATTGTCTCACTATGACCAACGCAGTCGCCACTGATGAGGCCAAAATTTCAGGCTTTCAGAATTGCTTAGGCGCCATACATCACCAAGAAAGGAAGCAATCCAGACTACCAATGCCGTCCAGCCTCGGGATCCTCCAACATCATTGTCAGCATCGTTGCCGGCACCAATATCAGATGCATCTTCAGCCAAAAAGTCGGGAACCATCTCTATCCTCGCCAGACCAAGCTCCTCGTTTCCCCTCCCAACTAACAATTCTACCCTCCCCTCATCCCATCCTCTTGCTCTCGCCGCCTCGGCCACTAGTTCCCCCATGCGGAGACTCCAAGCGCTGTTCTCTTCCTCCGTCTCATCATCCACTGTTTCCAGCAGATCAACACCTCTGCCTTCCAGCATCTCACTCAGCGGGTAGCTACCTGCAAATTCCCAGTCTAAGATCGCCGCAATCTTCTTATCCCGCATCATGATGTTGCGGCCGTTGAGGTCGTTGTGAACGAGGGTGAATGGTTGCTCTGGGAGAAACGTTGATGGGGATGAGGCTAGTCTGTCCCGAGTCTCTCGTAAAGATTTGATGAATGTGTCTCTTGTCACGACGTCAAATCAGCCTTCATCAATATCGCTATCAGGAGCATGAGTGTAGTAGTAGATTTCTTTATCGTAGCAGCCGAGGACGTAAGCGTGCGTTGAGTGGTAAGGTCCTATGTCGTAACAGTCTGGCGAATAGAATTTGTCCTGCGAGCGTGGAGTTAGTCCACGTATACGTTCATTATTGCGACTTTAAGGCGGCATACTCGACCCTTGAACAACTTCATACCCTCCACCGTTGGGCTGGCAACGAGATCCACCTATACGTGGTGCCGGCTACGAACCCTCTGACAAAGATTCCTATGCCTTCGGGAGTCTGCTCTATACCTGTTTAGCAGCTACTACGCGTTGATTGGTTCCCAACTCGTTAGCTGCAATAGGCGTAAACTTACGGTCCGGCACGTCAGAGGAGCCAAGAGATCTCAAGGGAGCGTACATTTACACATGGGTGTACAATCGGATTCTTCGATTACGACAACGGTCAACTACGTACGAGCGAAAATCGGATAACGAGACGCGTCAGATCGAGGGTTAACGCGTCCCCCTCGAAGAATTCGATATTATCGACATGACGGCGAGCCTCACCCCTCTCGATCGGATAATACCTCCCTCCCTCGCTGATCGGTAACTCTTCCCTAAATACTACAAGTACCCGACTCCGGCCACAGACGAGTCAACTCGTTTACGAGAATTATATGGAGGTTTTCTATAGGAAAGAGACTAGATAAGAGAGCTAAATCTAATATACTTGGAAAATACCCCCTTAACAGCGGAGTCAGCGAGTAACAAGTGATAGTCGTATACCTTTTAGCCAGCTATCGACATGCGAATAGGCCTCGATTAGGTCTTGTATCCCTACGGGAATCGAAGCGAGCTCTCGACTTCGGTTTGACAAATATCACTATTCTCTCTCTTACGTGACGATATATAATGAAATACTGAATATCTGAGTGTACATGAAACGGAGAGGCTAGAGCTCGGCTCTGAGAAACGAGGAAAAAGCTTTAGGGTACATTGCAGAGTGTAATGGTGTCTGGTTGCAATGAAGGCTTTGGAATTCCTCAACATAATGTACATAGCCGTGGTTCTACCACGATTATCTGCCGTACCTTAAATGGGGTACGGATGCCGGACATGGCCGTAAGGCCGAGTGGGTAAAAACGGTTGCACTCTGGGCTACGCCTTTCAATGGGAAGGGGTACGAACAGGGGCACGGCCCTCCGATGTAGGAATTACACACACACACACACACCCTCCACCGTTGGCCCAATCTCGTGTTCCAAGGTCAGACCGCCGATCCGATCGAATGTGATTGTGCCCATTTCGATTATTGTTTGGGCAACTTGTCGGGCAGCTGCCAATTTCTCGTCCTCAGAGTATGCAGTCCATACTGAATCCAGAGGCTGCCCATCAATGTACTCCATCGTGATGTAAGGCTCGTTCCCGGTTTTTCCATCGTCATACGCGTAGACTTTGGGCACTGGGATCGAGGGATGGTCTTTGGCAATGAAAGTGAGGTGGGCAACTTCATTTTCGATCTGCCACGGCAAGAATGCATCGTCGTTTGGCTCGCGGAGTATGGCTGTATGCAAGGAAGTTGTACCGTCTTGTTCAGAGGGTTTTGAAGAAAACGAAACAAGCCACACGTAGTTGTAGCCGCCCTCTGCGAGAAAGTCTACCTTCACATCTTCGATAGCAGCATCCTCGCTACTTATGTTGTGGTTTCCCTCTATCGCAGGCAACACATTTTTGAGGACGCCCTGTAGTGCCTTTCTTGTAGATAGACACTTTCTTGTGGTTGGGACATCGCTCTTGGTGTCTGTCGCAGAGTCCGATATGTTTACAGACCATTGAATGTTCGCAAAGTCAGCATCTATTCCAAGCCACTGTCCAGGATATAGGCATGCTGAAATATGGAAAGAGGTAGAGGACAGATAACGTTTCCTCCCGCAACAGTTTTTATGCGACTGTGGTTTCAGTGCCGATTGGGGAGGGAGACTCCAAGTGAGAATTATATCGTGCCTTTATTTATATAGACCGACTAATGAGACTTTGGAAGCAAGGCATAAATACATCATGAAGCTCAAAATCGACCAAAACTTCATCTATACATGCCTGCTCTCTCATGACTGAAGCCCCATCGCCATTCGCGACAAAGAGTGCCAAAGACAAGTCAATACACCTGGCTGAGAACAATTTCTATATGATGAGACTTTGTAAGGGTTGAGCTGCGAGTAAACGAAACAGACAAAAATCTAATTACACGTGAACAAAGAAATGAAAATCAAATGACCGCAAACAACTAGTACGTATGGTTTCAGAACTCCGTCGATCTTTTGTATGCCTTAAAGAGATGAGTTGAGAAGCGCTTTCAGGTCAAATCCCCTAGCGAAGGGCCACGAAAGACATAATTCGGATTTGAACTTCATCATTCTGTTAGTCACTGGCAGCATGCGCCCAGAGAAACAGGTGGCAGAACCCAGGGCATTCATTGCAGTCACCAACACTAGTTCCGGGCGATTTTGCCTTTTCGTGGGCCAGTCTTCTGACTGACTCTTGAAGAAAGTAATTGAAGCCGCCAATGTTCGGTGACAACGACGTTGGCGAGGCAGCTGAACACTGCATGGAACGGATGGTGGCACTAGGGAGGGTAAGTCCAAACCAAGACGACGATGACTCCGGGAGCGAGTTGGAAGGTACTTCTTACAATGGCTAGCCACATGTGTAGTATTGCGTACTTAGCTTGGTGGGATAAGATCCTGCCGCAGGCTTCCATAGAACAATCAAGTCTTCCTACCCACGAGAACCTTGTCATAATCTTACTGAGGGCATCGGGAGCACTTTCACTCCACAACATTGGCGTCAAGCTCAAAAAGGGTGCGGAACCCTTTCCAGTTCCTAAAATGTTTCTTGTCTTCGCGTTGCAGAATTCTCATTCTTTTGATGCTGCACGGGTTCAACCAAGATGCGTGGTCCCAGATATTTCTATAATCGCTATGTCTGGTATTTTCGAGTAATCTACAGGGGGGTATACCGTAATGAGCTTGCGATATGATTGGCCCCCGAAGCGAGGAACGAGTGTAGGGCTGGCCATAGGATACCCCGCTAATGCGAGTCTGTAAAGTAATCATCAAAACCCTGACGCATGTGACGCCACTTGCTTGGCGTCCGGGTGCACCTGCAAGCGCCACCAGACACTGACCGAAAGCTTCTTTCATCCTTGTTTGCGATGGCTTCGAAATCGAAAATGAGTCTAGCAGATTCGCAGTTTTCTGACTGCTGGTGGAGTACCCGGCGTCAGCTTATCAAACCCTGCATTGGGAACGGGTCACCGATCCAGGAACACGCTTGATCATCCCCTAAAAGAAATCGCAACAACACCTCGGGTTTAGATTGCGCTGTAAGAAACGACAGGGGTACACAAGGCTCGATTTTTGGAGGTGTGGGCCTTCGGCATTGATAGACCTGCTCCTCTTGGTCCTCTAAAGCCCGTGTCATCTTAATTTTAATCAGGTACGAAGTCAGGCGGGCATCTTTTGAACCTTTGTTGTTGATCTAGTTAACCACCATCGGTCATTTCAAACCCGTCTTTTCGAACGCCTAGAATCCAGCTTGTCGACCCTGGGCTACTTAAAATGTTCTCGCACGAATTCTTTCAGTTGTTCGACAGGCGTTGGCTTGTCGCTCTTTGTTTACCGGGTGGTGTCTCTGTTCATTCGAATGCAGGAGACTGTCCTAAAGCTACCCTCCTGGTAGTGACCGTTACCAGTCTTTCGTGCTCTCACCCAAGCATGTTCTTTTCTGGTCTTTTGCAGGATATTCAACGATCGTTGGTCCTTTTTTCGACTGTGTGCAGCCAGAGTCACAGATTCTCTTTAATGGTTTCTTCATCCGTCAAACATATCTTCCAAATGCCGACTACTCACCATTGCCAGGTCGGCAAGCATGTCGGATACTGCAAAAAACACATGGAGTACTGCGACTATCGCCCCAAAGTGTGGCACTACAGGAAAGGTTAAACGCTGTGGAGAATGCTTTAATGGAGAACCACCATACACACTCAAACCAACAGGAAAAGATGACTTCCAGATCAAGGCAAGGGGGCTACAACTACGTATGGCTTGTGTCCTATACGACCGAGCATCACGTGAAGGTCCTACGTTTTCCACCCTAATTTTGACTAATTATCTACCAGGTATCGGACATCATCGAGACTCTATCATCTCGGAAGATGATCATCCGCGAGCCCAAAGAGGAAGCTTGGTCATGTCAAATCGAAAACGAAATAGCCTTCCTTACGTACCTTGCCAAAAACCACCCGTCGATACCAGTCCCTAAGGTGTACACTTATAACATCAAGCAATCAGGATCGGACAGTCCGTATATTGCTACGGAGTTCATCGATAGCCGGCCTCTAGATTGCCTATGGTCTAGCTTGACAGAAACCGAGAAAGCAAGTGTTGCTGAGGAAGTTGCGCGAATCATTGGCACACTGAGTGAGATCAATCTCGGCGGTATTGGCGGTTTCACTTTGGAGCATAGACTCGGACCCACCGTTGAAGGCTTCAAATTGTTTAAAGGAAAATTAAGTCACGATTGCTGTTGAGGGTATTACCTGATACGGCGTAAACGTATGCTATACACTGACAATTCATTCTGGACAAGCTCACTCCCCAGCCTTCTACAATATCGGACCATATCCTTCTACACATGCCTATGTGATTGCTTGCTACGATCAAGAGATATATTATTACAGCAACGCGTCTGCGGAAGACCTAGATGAGGACCTCTTTGAAAACATTTCGAAAGAGAAGTTCATCGGGTCCTTGCGAACAGCCCGGGACATATTGTCTTCCAATGTATCCTCGTTCCTTCCCCAAGAGCCTTTCGCTCTCGCGCACGGCGATTTCTGTGGCCCGGAATATAGTAGTGCACGATGGTCACATCAGCGCCGTCATAGACATGGAATTTGCGGGTAGTTATCCGATGAGTGAGCTGCTTGGTGGGGTGGGGGTAGAATGGTTCGAAATGGAAGATGAAATCCTTTGGAGTATCGACCATGGAGCGACCGAATCAAAGACGCAGTAGTGGAGAAAGTGAGGAGCAGGGGTTGGGAGGAGGATCAGGTGGCGCTGTTGGTCGGACGAGGAAACGGCGAGGTACAGCTGGCCAGGAGAGAGATGATTCCTATGGACGACGACGCCGATAGCGATGAGGATGAGGGTGAGGGTGAGGATGATGGAGGTGCTGATGAGAGTGAAAAGGGTAATAATGAGGGTGAGAATGATGGAGGTCCTGATGACAGCGAAGAGGGTAATAAGAATGTTGAGGTCCGGGGTTGGTAGAGTGACCGATGGTGACGTATTAGTCACGGGAAGGGTTTGAATGAGTCAGTTGTACGGTTCGTCATTTTGAACTAGCGATTCAAGTAGGAAGGGTACAATATTTAATATAATTGCAAGGGAAGATGGCGCGGGCCCGGGGCGGGAGTTTGCATGCTTACATGTAACTTGGACCTCCTCCGGTCTCCTTTGCTTTTGGCGCCCTGTGTACTCTCTCTGTTATATCATCTCGATGGGGATTGAATCCCATGGATTTGGAATTTTTTCCACAGATGATCAAATCCAGGATCTATAGGATCGGACTGGTTTTATGCAGACACTTGACCAATCAAATGCCAGACCGCGACACCTCCGGGGCATTTTAAATGCGTGATGTATGCAATCTCCAATCTCCAATCTCATCGCCAAGCCACAGCCGTTCCCGTCTCTTCACTTGCATCATTTGAATCATTATTTTATCATGCACCCAGCACACTCGGGTCTTAAGATCCCCAGCTATCCCCAGCTATCCTCCATTCATCCCAATCCACAATCCCAGTACTTTGAATCCACACCCCCGTTATGCAGCTTATCCTCTTCACTTCTTCGGTCTACGATAGTATGCGGCCACACAATAATAGATCGTCCTTATTTAATCGCCGGTAACTTTCAGGTTGCGTAAACGTGCACATGACCACTTGAATGTGCCCTGACCTTACCCTCCTCTCAAGGCGCACACCCCAATTGAAGCCTCATTCACGGCACCCTCAGCCCTGGCGTAAACCCGAACCCTCCCCCTCATGCAGCGGGCCCTGCAAGATGGCGTCAAGATGCATATGAACAGAGAGACTGCTACATGGAGGCCACGCGACAGATGCTTTACCGTAGACCACACTGACCGCCCCCTCCGGCTGACACCCCCCCCCCCACCATTTTCATTCCATCCTCATTCCCACACCCTCATTCAAAAGCTTCTCTATCACCAGCATTCCCAATTCCAAATACATCCTTCCTAACATCCCGTGCCGTATTCCTGCGAGCAGCTCGATACTGGGCTGCAGTACGGGCTTGTTCGTACCTGCTCGGACATAGACGCCCTACGACATATCATTGGTCACGCCCTCCCTCGGACTTATCATGGAAACCACAACCGAAACACGCCGAACCGACATCTACATGGCAACCCAAGAATTGCCATCCACATCATTGGCTCTCCCGCGTCGGCTTGGGTCGCTCGTGACTTTATATTTAGACTGACCACCCCAATGTTCGGCAACCACAAATATGCCTTCTTGTCCAACCTGTTCCCAATCGCCAAGATACGCAACACTGTCAAACGCCGCGAAAACTCGAATACCTGGATTCTCGAGGACCCTGTCGAAAAAGGCTCCAAGATGGACTTGGTCTCATGGATTTTGGGGAACTGTGACTACGATCAAGACACGAAGATCTACATCGACCCGGAAAATCGCGAGAGGTCCATATCAGCCAAACAAGCGCGGGCCACTGTCAGGCAGTTCGTAGCAGGCTGGAAGGCCGTAGGCTTGAAGCCAGGAGACTGCGTGTGCGTGCATGCGTTCAATGATGTAAGGGCGAGAGTTCTGCTTTCATCATTCCGCCGCCCTGGACACATCTGCTAGGTCCCGAGAAGCGCCCAAGCAGAGCTGACAGTCTTAGATAATGTATACCATGCTTTTCCTTGGCATCATCGGCGCCGGTGGGCGGTTCACAGGCTCGAACCCGGGATACACACATTTAGAGCTTAGGCACCATATTCAGAGCACCAGAGCTCGGTTTCTGATTACAGAATACGAACTTCTCCCCGTAGTCGCCCAAGTGGGAGAATATGGCGTGCCAGCTTGCAATGTGTTCGCACTGGAGACAAAGTCTCATTATGTCACCAAATCATATTGCAACTCCGTCCAAGAGCTCTTGAACCATGGCGAGCGCGATTGGGTGCGGTTTTCGAGCGAGGAAGAAGCAAAGAATACGACAGCTGCTTTGCTTTCTACCAGTGGGACCACTGGACTACCGAAAGCGGCCATGATCTCACACCACAGCTTCGTAATGCAGAGTATTATGCTGGAAGATGGCAAGGAAAAACCGTACAAGGTGGGATTACCTTTTCAGCCCTCGAGCACCCTTTCTCAACACTAACACTGATTCAACAGGTATCTCGTTTAATTAGTCTGCCGGAGTTCCACGCCTTCGCCTTTCCACTTGCACACATCGCGCCGCTTCGAGAAGGTGTACCGACCTACATAATGCGCCGCTTCGAGCAGCAGAGGTACTTGTCGATCATTCACCAGTATGAGATTACCGAGACGCCTTTGGTACCAGTGATACTGAACGCACTCATGAAAGGAGAAGCAACGACAAGGGAACTGCTAGCCTCACTCCGCCTGGTCTGGTGTGCCGGCTCACCGTTGGATGAGAGGGCTCAAGATGCGTTCTTTCGCATCTTAGCACCCGCTGCGAGGGTGGTGCAGGTTTGGGGAATGACGGAATCTGGATGGATCACAACTTTTCTCTGGCCTGATACAGACCATACCGGCAGTGTGGGCAAATTGCTGCCAGGAATGGAAGCCAAGTGAGGTACATGCGAACTTGCTGCCTACAGACGGCTAATCTAGTCCCCAGACTCGTCGCCCAAAATGGTAGTATCGTTGATCGAGACGAAGAACAAGCTGAGATCTACGTCAGAGGACCACTCGTCATGCAAGGTTATCTCGGCAACCCTGAAGCCAGTAGAGGCATGATAGACGCTGAATGTTGGTTAAAAACGGGCGACATTGGATACAAGGACGGAGGCAAATACTACATCGTTGACCGGTTAAAGGTTGGGCAATCCCTCAGATTTGGTCTCGATCCCATCAATGCGTGCCATGTCTGATCGCCGCTGACTGTGCTGCAACAGGAGATGATCAAGGTCCGTGGCTGGCAGGTTTCACCGGCCGAACTACAAGCAGTCCTTATGCTGCACCCCGACATCTTGGACGCTGCGGTCATCGGAATTCTCCACCCCAAAGACGAGACCACCGAGACCCCTCGAGCCTACGTCGTCAAAGTACCCGGTAGCGACGTTGACCTGGCCGACATCAAAAACCACATGTCCAACTACCTGGCAAGATACAAGAGCCTAGACGGAGGCGTTGTATTCGTCGACTCGATCCCCAAAAACCCTGCCGGCAAAATCTTGAGAAAAGTACTCAAAGAGCGCGCAAGGTCAGAGCTGCAATCAGCCCGATCAACATCAAAGCTGGCTCAAAGCTGGAAGCTATTCATCAAAGCCACCGAACTCCTTTACGAACACTGGCGGGCCATGTCCATGTCCATCCCTAGCCCCGCGACGACAACGGATTCCGGCAACAACGAGACCGGCTCCAGCAACCTTGCATCGCCCACCACGGCAAGCTCCGTATACAGCGACGTCGAAGGCGAGATGGACTGCAGCAGCAAGTCCCACGCTCAAAGTGATGGGATTGTTCTCAACCCCAAAGACTTCGGCCCCAGAACCCGCATGCTGGCTCCCGTGGATACCTGGCTCCTCGGTATCAAAATCCCGGGCTCGTTCGATCCCTTACCCGCAACGAATGACAGAAACATGGCCAAAGACCCCGACTTGACGGCTCCGACACGGGTTTTGGAAGCCGTGTATGACTGTGTACAGGGGTAATATACCGGCGTTTGGGAACCGTCCGCGGGGTTTCGGCGGGCTGTAAAGTACATAGACGAGGGAACTTTGATGGATTAATACATGTCTATTAGGGCATCATGTCCGTGCCTCACGGCGTTTATCTATCTCATCACCCCGTATCAACGGTTATTCTAAGGGTATTATACCCATGCCTCGCGGCATTTATCTATCTCATTACCCCATATTAACAGTTATTCTAGGGGTATCATGCCTATGCCTCGTGCCATCTATCCATCTTAATTCCCCCCATTAACGATTTTCTAGAGGTATCATGCCCGTACCTTACGGTATTCATCTATCTTATTCCCCCTATTAACAGTTATTCTAAGGGTATCATGCCTATGCCTCGTGCCATCTATTCATCTCATTCCCCTTATTAACAGTTCTTCAAAGGGTATCATACCCGTGCCTCACGCTATCTATCCATCTCATTACTTCATATTAACAGTCATTATAGAGGTATCATGCCTATGCCTCGCGGCATTTATCCATCTTATTACCCCGTATTAACGATTATTCTAGAGGTATCATACCTATACCTCGCGGTATTTATCTATCTTATTACCTCTATTAACAGTTATTCTAAGGGTATCATACCTATACCTCACGCTATTTATTTATCCCATCACCTCGTATTAACGATTTTCTAGGAGTATCATACCCGTGCCTCGCGGCATTCATCTATCTCATTTCCTCTATTAACGATTTTCTAGAAGTATCATATCTATATCTCGCGATATTTATCTATCTTATTCCCTCTATTAACGATTTTCTAAGGGTATCATATCTATACCTCGCGGCATTCATCTATCTTATTACCTCTATTAACAGTTATTCTAAGGGTATTATATCTATATCTTACGCCATCTATTTATCTTATTACCTCTACTAACGACTATTCTAGAGGTATTATACCCACACCTCGCGGCGTTTATCTATCTCATTCCCCCTATTAACGATTTTCTAGGAGTATCATACCCGTGCCTCACGGCATTCATCTATCTCATTTCCTCTATTAACGATTATTCTAAGGGTATTATACCCATGCCTCGCGGCATTTATTTATCTCATTACTTCGTATTAACAGTCATTATAGGGGTATCATACCCACACCTCCCGTCATCTATCCATCTCATCCCCCCATAAACAATCATTCTAGCACATTGTCAGCAGCTGTGAATGCCATATCGCACGGATCACTTACCCTCCAACTCCTCCCTTCCCACCCCCGCACCCCCCTCCACCTGCCCTATCATCCGAGCTGCATCCCCACCCGTCCCACCATTCACGCCCTCCGACACCCCTTCCTCTCCGTCATCCCCCGAGATCACATCCCCACCCATCCCACCGTTCACACCCCCCGACACCCCTCCTTCCCCCTCACCCAGCGGTCGAGATCCCCACGCGACATTCCAAAACGTCAGCAGCGCCCACAGCTTGAGGAGTGAATGGAAGTATCCGAAGAGGATGTAGCCGGGCAGGTAGGCCAGATCGCGGGGGTGCCGTCGGAAATGCGGCCAGGGTTTGACGAGCTTGGAGCACAGGATCCAGAGGCAGAGGGTCAGGAGTCCGGTGGAGGGCGTGACGGGATGGCTGCTTGCCGGGTCGGTGAGGTAGATCCGGAGCGTGGTGAGGAGAGCGACGTCGTAAAAGAGGGCGAAGTTGATGAAGGAGGTGAGATAGACGGCGTAGATGGACCATGGCTGGGTGGTCCAGGTTCGGCGTGATAGAAGGCTGAGGGGGTTGCTACGCCAGGTCGTACGCGCCCACCTCATGCATTGGGAGAGGAATTTGGGATATTCTCCCAGCGTGGTTTCGATACACGCGTCCTCGGAGTACTGGATCTTGAGTTTCCAGCCGTGCTCGACCATCCAGCGCGTGATAAAGTTGTCATCGTCGGCATTTAGAGGGCCGATGAGACCGAAGAGGATGTAGTCGTTTAGAAAGCCGTTGCGGAATAATTGCGGCTGTAGAATCTCCGTGCGGTGAGCCGACGTGCGGCCGGAGATGACGAAGACGCCTCCATCGATGGCATTGGTGGCAGCGATCTCGAAGTTGTGTCGCTCGAGGTATAAACAGCCGAGGAAGTTCCAGAAGCCGGCCAAGGAGAAGTTTGAGACGGTGCGGCGCACTCGCTTGCTTGTACCGACGCAGCCAACGTTTGGGTCTTCGAAAGGGGCGAGGATGCTGGGGAGGAAGTTCCGAGGCCAGAAGACATGGTCATCGCAGAGCACTGTGATGGTAGTATGTACCTGGAAGGCCGCTGATGGTTAGCGAAAAGTCCACATCTAGTCATAGCTGTGGGGGTGAGACGAGGGAGATGAAAAGGGGTACTCCAACATTCTCTCTCTTGGGTAAAAGATGAGAAGGGGTTTGATCGACTTCGGAACTTGAACTTCTATGTAGTAGAAAATTCCAGTGTAGTAGACAACTCATGTGGTAGACAGCTTCAGTGTAGTAGACATCCCCTGTGGTAGACAACTCCAGTGAAGTAGACAACTCCAGTGAAGTAGACACCTCCTGTGGTAGACAACTCCAGTGCAGTAGACAACTCCAGTGCAGTAGACAACTCCAGTGAAGTAGAAACCTCCTGTGGTAGACAACTCCAGTGCAGTAGACAACTCCTATGGTAGACAGCTTCAGTGTGGTAGACACCTCCTGTGGTAGACAACCCCAGTGTAGTAGACACCTCCTGTGGTAGACAACTCCAGTGCAGAATACAACTCCTGTGTGGTAGACAATTTTTGTGTGGTAGACAACTCCAGTGCAGTAGACAACTCCTGTGTGGTAGACAATTTTTGTGTGGTAGACAATTCCTGTGTAGTAGACTCCATTGTTCTCTCTCTCTTCTCGTACCTCGTCTTCTAGAGCTTCACAGACCTGTGCCCGCTTGTTCTGAACGTGGCAATGTTTGATCAGAATGTTTGAGGACATGTCAACGCTTTGAATCGCCCTCTCATAGTTACCCGGTCCAGCAGTAACGATGACAATCTTGGCAGGTCCGTTGGCTTGAATTGATTGGATGCATTCCTCGAAGTCCTTTCCGTACGGTGCCACTGTTGGTACGATGACCGTGACATCTTTTGCCGTTAGACTTGGATGGGTGGGAATAGCAACGGGTTTGTATAAGCAGAAGGCTGTTAAGTTGACGATGAGTCGTACGTAACGGAACAAGAACAGTATCACGAAGATTTTCAACTTCGTGTTAGGTAAGGAGAAAAGGGCATCGATTGCAGCAATTAAGGAGATGTACCAGATGGGCTGGTAACGCACAGTCCTCGATGATAGCAGCGGAAGGAGTAAGGTGAAGACAATCGCCAGTGCAAGCCAGTCAGGGTAAGCTGGACTGCCGGTATCCTGGAGGAGCATCTTGAAATCCGATGATAGGCGTATTGTGCGTATTGCAAGCGACAGCAAGGGTGTGCGTCTGCCATTGTGAAAATTTTCACCTCGTCACGACGACGCGTTGAGCAAAGCGAGCTCAACACAATGAGCACGCGGCAGTGGTTGCTTCTGGGCCTCTGCATATGCTTCATCCTTTGTATTTCTACTGAACACCTTACCTTTGACGTCTTCTATTCATCCCCTGGGGCCTCCTGCCTAGACGTGCCATCCAAAAGCGATGGATAGATTTGATTAATGACCGCTGCCGGTGTCAAGGCATCACCATAGGTAATGCAGCGAATCTGAACCGAGCTGGCCGCGCTTGAAACGCAATAGCAAGATCTGGACACGAGAACATTGAGAGGTTCTTTGCTTGATTTTATCATGAACAGGGACCGATGAAAGCAATCACGCCTCGGGGCCTCGACTGTCAGTTGGAGTGGCCGGTCCTGGCAGTTATTCCGTCACAGCAGGGATAAGAGAAGCAGCTTGCAACTCACGAGATCCATTCGACTAGACATTCTAGCTCTTTTCTTGATCACAGGGTATGTTGCTCTACGTTTGTGCATTCCAAAGTCTTCTAGAACCTCAACTGATATTGATTGCTGCCCAGACGCAACAGCCGGCCTGGGTATCTGGAACGCGGTAGGAAAATCTCCGAGATATCCAACTGTCAGAAGCACGAAGTCTGAAGCTACTGTCGACTATCATTCTCCAGTGATTGGCGGGCACATGTCACTTGCATCTTCTGAGCTGATTACATATCACGGCATTTGTTTCCTTGGAACCTAAGCGGCTCCATATCATCACAGCCACCTCATTCGCGGAGGAACATCCGATACGTAGGCGAGTCTGTCCACTCAGAGAAAGGGTAGCCCAGCTTCGTGAGGAACCCCTCCAACTCTTGCTTCTCGGCTTTGGAGCATTGGATGCCAGCCAACACCTGGGCGATATCACCTCCATGGTTTCGATAATGGAAGAGTGAGATATTCTGATCTAATCGCAAGGTAGTCAAAAACTTGAACAATGCTCCTGGTCGTTCCGGAAAATCGAACATGTACAGGAGCTCGTCTCGGACATCACTGCGACCACCAACGAGGTACCGCAAGTGTGACTTGGCAAGTTCGTCGCCACTGAGGTCCACCGCATCCATGCCGTCCCGACCTAGACGTTGGATTAAGTCTGGAAGCTCCGTGGACCTTGTGGATGCATTGATGGATATGCCCATGAGGATATTGGCAGAGCCTTCTTTGGCATACCGGTAGCTAAACTCTGTCACGGAATGGGAAAGTACAGCTTTGACAAGCTCAGCGAAAGCCCCTGGTCTCTCGGGTATTTTGACAGCAAGCAATGCTTCTTTCTGTTCACCCAAAGCGGCACGCTCGGCAACAAACCGTAATCTGTCGAAGTTCATATTTGCGCCTGAAGCCAGTGCAATTAACTGTCGTTTAGGATTAGTAGATGGATTCCATGCCACATACTTCTTCAAGCCCGCCAAAGCTAGAGCGCCAGCGGGCTCGACGATAGATCTTGTATCCTCGAATACGTCTTTGATGGCTGCACATGTCTCATCTGTTGATACTTCGATGATATCGTCCACGACTTCCAGACAGAGCCGAAATGTCTCTTCGCCAACGGTTTTGACTGCAGCACCATCTGCGAACAAGCCGACTTCTCTTAAGACCACTCTCTTCTTTTTCTTTAGCGACTGCATCATGGCATTGGCATCGTGAGTTTCCACACCGATGATCTTGACATGCGGAGCGATGCGTTTGATGTAAACTCCCAGGCCGGCTATCAGTCCACCCCCACCAACGCAACAGAAGACTGCCTCCAAGTCTTGCAGATTCGTTTGCCGCAGCAGCTCCATGCCTATTGTGCCTTGCCCAGCAATGACATACGGATCATCGAAGGGTGCAATGTTGGTGAGGCCGTGCAGCTTCTCCAGGCGGTGTGCCTCACTTTTGGCTGAGTCGAAATCATCGCCATGTAGTACAACAGAGCCACCAAGTCGGGAGACATTCAGATGTTTGATTGGTGGGGTTCCTAAGGGCATGACGATGGTGGCAGGTATTTTCAGGTGGCGTGCAGAATATGCGACTCCCTGAGCATGATTCCCTATACTCTCTCAGCTCAGAGCTGGAGATGGTTGTGCTGCTTCATTCACCAGCCGAGCAAGCGACCACCCCCTTCCACCTCTCTTCTGAATTGAGATGTGCCATTTTGTTGTATGCCCCTCGCAGTTTGAAGCTGAAGACAGGTTGGAGGTCTTCCCTTTTGAGGAGAACTTTGCATTCTAGTCGATTGCTAATGTTGATAGCTGGAGTGAGGGGAGTTTCTTTGACGACTTCGTATACTCGAGAAGTGAGGATCAGGCGGAGATACTATTCGTGTCCAATTAGTTTAGGCTAAGGTGAGGTGAGGCGCGTTGCATACATCTGGGTGGCCGTCAGAGAGCAGAAATGCTTCTGGTACTAAAGAGGAAGCTGCGGTCTTTTCTGAGGTTGGATTGGCAGAGTACTCGGTCAGTGGCATACTATTGTGGACGCCATTTAGCATTGATATGGGAGCCATGATGATTTGGACCCTCAGAACTTGAGAGATTGGAGAGCTCAAATGAGGATGTGGAGAGCGAATTCCAGTGAATTTTAGAAAAGTCGGTCAAAATGTTCCTCTAACCTCACTGCTGTACGAGTAGGCGGAATCTTTCCGCTGTCGATCGATCTGATGGACCACCCCGAGAAGGCAAAGATCTCGAATCAATGGCAGTCACTGCTCGTTTCCTACATCACTCTCGATCTACGGCTGCTACCAATGCACTGGAAAGACAGCAGCTTTTTACTTCTGGACCTCGTGCTTGCATGATCTCATGACCCAGAGCTCTTGATATCTCCCTCTTCCCATTTTCGACATTCCTAATCCAAGATGTCCGACGCACCTCTCCCCTCCTCTTTCGATGCGTGAGTTTCTCCATCGATTTCCCGTGCGCAAGGTACCTCAACTGACCATTCTCCAGCGATTTCTTTGAAGAAAACCGCTGGCAGAAATTCACCCGTCGCCTCAAAGAAGAACCCCTCATCCCCTTCGGCGTCGCCGTAACCTGCTGGGCCCTTTACAACGCCAGCCGCTCCATCCGCCAAGGTAATGGCGCCCGCACAAACCAATTCTTCCGCTACCGACTCTATGCGCAATCATTCACCCTCGTCGCCATGCTCGGCGGCTCGTACTACTACAACGCGGACCGTCTGAAACGGAAAGAGTATACGGATCTGGCGAAGAAAAGAAAAGCGCAGGTGAAGAGAGACGCCTGGATTCGAGAGTTGGAGGCGCGAGACCAGGAAGATAGGGAGTGGAGGGAGAAGTTGGGTAGGGTAAGGGATTTTCAGAGGGAGGAGGTGGAGAGGGAGGCGATTGAGGAGATGAAGATGAGAGAGGGGCGGAGTGATGATGGGAGGGGGGTAATTGATGCGTTGAAGGGAAAGATGAAGGATGTAAAGAATACGGAGGCGAACAAAGAGGCTGCAGAGCTAGAGCAGAGGAAGCAGCAGATCAAGGAGAAGAGGCGAGAAATGGAGAAGAAGCAAGAGGTGGAGAGAATGAAGCAAGCAGTGGCCAAGCAGGAGGCTGGTATGGGCCCTGATACAAGAGTGTGGGGTGAAGCGGGAGGAGGCTTGTTTGGATGGAAGCATATTAGAAATTGGTTCAATGGACCCCGGGATGGTGAAGGGGAAAACTAGAAGCCGGAATGTCAATGGGTGGAAAGTCGAGTTTGACATGTATATGGTTTGGAACAGCCGGCAGTATCAAATGCGATGTCATCCGGCATCGTGGAACCTCGGTGCTGAAGCCTTCTTCGTGTACCACACCCGTGCCATATGCTTCACTGGCACTGTGTTTGCATAGAACAGTGGATCCTGTCTTGGTGTGAAATCCCTTGAGACGCCGCGCTGCTCATCCCCTCGAGCAATTGGTGCTGGCGCCTCAAGAAGAACCCACGCTGGCGTAATCCTTCTGCCATCCCTCTTTTGTCACTTCCGAGATCTCAATCCCTCGCACCCCTTTCTATCCCTGCCGTTGCTTATGCTTCGGATTCTTTGAGCATATGATATAGACATATCCTTTCCGTCTGACACTCTGTAGACAAAGACGTACCATCAGCTGGGAATGCTCCCGTCCTGCCAGATCAAGCAAGTGACCTACTTTGCACCCATCACACAGCTTCTTCACACTGCTCCTAACCTTCATTCCTCTCGAAACCTCCGGCTTCTCATGCATGACCAGCTCGAGCCCTGGCCTCTTCTCAAGCTTTCCCAGTAGTCCTGCCAACGATCTCCATTTTCCCTGCAATAACCCTGTGTGTGTACTCCGTCCTAACGACCCTCCAGAACCAGCGCTGAATGCACGAGCGGTACATGACGCACATATCAGTAGAGACGTTCGTGATGATGTGGTTCTTGAGGTGTGCTGGAGGTATGGGAGGGCGGAGAAATTGCGGAGAGCGGTCATTGCTGCGTTTGCTCGTAGCTGGAGCATAGTGTAGTGTGACGTGCTGGAGCAGGGGCAGGCTTGAGGAATATATGCTCAAGAAGGACTCGCGATGCAATAGGTGAAAGCAGATGGAGTTGGATGCGTGATGATGCTTGCGTTCAATGCAAGCCAAAAATATCGCCAAGATATCGGCCTTGGCGCGGTCGACGATGAATTCTCAACATTGCCCTTGACCTTCACTGTCCTACTGCCATAATGATGACAGTAAAGGCTACTTCGCGATTTGCAAAACAGTTCGGCGTGCCCATTTCTTAAATATGGGTGCTGCTTATTACATCTGACAGAATGCCACCCATCCGCCGCTACCTCCGCATAACCCAATACTCCGTCCTCGAATGCCGCATCTACCTTGACAATCCCGCAGACACGTACCGCTGGCTCCTCAATTCACGCAATCCTGTTTTACCGCGTGTAATTGAGGCTGTCCGCCCGCTCGT